TGCTCAAAACGTAATGCGTAATTTTTAGAAATCGTTTTTGAAACGTTTTCGCGTTTAAAATTTAAATCAGCGCCGCCAAACGTACAAGGTGTTCGTGAACACGGTTATCAACGGACAGCAACGTTTCACTACTCTGTAATCGTCGCGGACAACGATCCGTGGACGTGCGGCGATTAAACGGATGTCGTTAACAAACCGCGCCCGGCTAGGGCCGTATCGTTCCGAACCCTGCGGAGACGAAACCCGGTCTTCGCGCCGTTGCGGGTGCACCACGCACGGTACGGAAACGTGTTGATACTGTTGCCCTAATAACGTTATGACGTGCGTTCGGCATTGTCGATTTCGAAAATTGACCGTGCGCGCATATATTATTACATAACCGCCGATGCTTACTCTCAACGGCCGACGGTCGTATTCGTATTGGTTTCACGTGTTAACGTTACTATTCGTTGTACAACGCGCGCGCGCGTGTTTACATTTACACGCGTTTTAAAATAATAAATTCGTTGTCGTTAATAAAACGCACAGTACGACGGTCCAATAAACGATTGCGTGCGCGCCTCCGTCCAAGGAAAACGAACACGACTCGTCTGCCGTTCGACGACGAGATCTCGTTCGATTACTCTTGTCGTCCCTGTTGCCGTTACTGTCCTGTGGCCGCGCTCGATCGAACCGTGCGACGGTGCGTTACGGTGCGGTATAGCGATGGTGTTCACGTACGCGGTGCGGTCCTGGTATTCTTTTTTTTTTACAATTTTTGGTTTTTCGGAAACCACTTGTTCAACGAAAACCGTGGCCGAACGTAGTATACTCATATTTTACGCGCGCGCACGCGTATTATTACACGATCCGCGTACGCGTTTATATGCTTGTTAAAACGTTCGTCTCGCCGCGCGAACCACGACGAACCTGTTGCTCCGCGGTACGGCCGGTACGCTGCGTGTGCCGCAGCGGTCGTCGGCGTACGCGTCGACGAGCCAACGCGAACCCGTCTGTTTCACACCGCAAATACGTCGTTGATCTGATGCGATTTAATCGTTCGCGTTTCCATACGATAATATTGCGTGTGCGTCGCGTACAATTACGATTGCGTTTGCCATCACAACGTTGTCCGTTAAAACGCGTACTGAACACCGGTTGTGAACAATCGAAAAACATTATCTGCCTCCTGCGCGTGTGCGTACACGTACTCGTCGTCGTGCCACGCCCGCAAAGTTCTTCTTTGAATTGTTTCATCCATCACACACACACACACACACATATATATATATACGGATGGGGGGGGGGGATATTACGGGACGTAATGAAAGAGAAAAAATAAATTTGTATAATATGACGTTTCCAGTCGGCGTGCCGAATATACGAGTGTAACGCTTACCTGTGTAGAGATTCGCTTGTGCTGATCCAGCTGCCACCGATGGGTGTAATACGCGTATAGGTTAGTGTACGTGTGTGTGCGTGTGTGTGTGTGTGTGAGTGAGTGAACGTGTACGTGTTGTAAATCACGCGGTAAATTACGTTTATCGCGACCGGATCGATTTATCAATCGTGTAAATACATTATGTAAATATTCGTGCGACCTTTTTTTCTTAATCTTATGGATCCCGTGGTAGTCGTTTATTTTTTTCGTATTGTTTTCCGAAATTGTATGAAAATTAAAAAAAAAATTCGCCACCTCGTCGCATTTGAGCAAACATTCCCGTGCGCAGTATCACAAGTCTCGTATTCGCTCGCTGGCACGTATATATATATATATATATATATATATATATATATATATATGTTCGTATAAATATAATTTATATACTTGTTTTTTTCCGCCTAAAACGCGCCCCATGCTAGAACACCCGGCCGCTACGCAGCCAGTTCGCTACAGCGTGCAACGATCGCGCAGTATTTCAAACTCTACGCGCGAATCCACTGCATATAATAACTTATGTAACGTATTACAATTATATTCCGCGTCGAGTACGACGAGGCTCACGCGTGCATTCGTCTTTTCAACGGCGCGACACCTCACGTGTGTGTGTTCACAGTGCATAAATTATTACATCCGAAACGGTAAAACGGCGTTCAAGCGCCGTACCCGAGGGGGGGGGGGGGGGGGCTTGGAGTCCGGACCTCCTCTACCAACCGAAATTTCTCAAATTTTTTACAAACCATGTAGACCGCTGTACGGACTGCGTAGTATCGAATAATGTTTAAAATAATAAAAATAAAACACTGGTAGGTCTGTTTGGTTCATTTTTTGCGATTCGTATGCGGTTCATTTGCCGTTGAATAAGAACGTTGATAATTACTTTATTGTGTTCAACTACGATAAGGTTGTGGTTTATAAACCGGTCGCTTCCGGCGCGACGAACTACTTTCGTTTTAAATTATATTTACAAACATTTATAAATCTCATTTCTGTTGCATTTTTTTTTTTTAATACGTATTTCAATAAATCTTAATCCCCCCCCCCCCCCCCCAAATAAATAAGTACGGTCTTGCGTAGATAAAATAAATTAACACAACGAACGATTCTCGAGCACCACCGCCGTCGCAAAAACGGTTCACGATATAATATGGGTGTATTGTTTATTCCGAAAGCGCCAGGTTTGAGTATACCTATTAACCACCTGTTTATTATCGAATGTGTCACATCATTTTTTTTTTTTTTTTTGCTACCAGTCTGGTGTCAAAATTTTATGATTGTGGTTTTTTAAAAAATGTATACTTCTGCAGTTAATTAAAAACAAAACATTTGGCACTGTAAGTACAATAGGTGTATTACTTTTTTTTTTACTTTCAAATGTTTCCATTGAATCTTTTAAGTGTATTTGTACACACAGCCATAATGCAATCGAGTCGAACGATATCGTCAATCAGGTCCCCTAACCTAATGTAATTTTATTTCAGTGCTATTAGCTTTTAGGTCGCTTCAGTTTTCGAGCGAAATCCCGCGCGTTCGTCCGACCCAAATTCTCTAACCCCTTTCGAAAACCGAGAACATCGTACGCTGCTGATCGCGCATAGTCCTGGTACATCTTTGTTGCACGCACATGCATGCACACGCTCGTTCACACCAAGGACTTTTGGTCGTGTCCCGGCATAATGTACGCGTCGTCGTTAACTCGGCCACAACGGGCCGCGTGTACGCTCGGCATAGCGCGTTACGAGTTAACCGGACGCGTTGTATTGCGCACCTTGTATATACAATAACAATAACGATAATCATTACACGGTTTCGCGCTTCGTAACCAGGCATTCGAATTAGTGTGACCGATCCATCCGGATGAATTTTTCTTTCTCTCCGTACACTCGCACGGCACCTGTCATTAATATTTTTATTATCATCCACTATTTGTGTTGAACACAATCACTCCAATCAATCGTTGTATCGATGTGTAAACGTGCGTGCGCCATACGCACGTACGTGAACGCGCGCCCGTTCGTCGGTCAACAGAGCCAACAGGTGCCGTATTTTGTCACTCTCGCGCGCGTTATGTTAAAAATACGTCGCGGATTATAATATATTATATTATTATTATGCGTATACGTATAGCGCGCGCGCTCGCGCGCGCGTGTGTACAAATGCTCGCGCACACGCGTTGTCTGTTAACAATACAATATAATAATGATAATAATAATATATTCCGCGGTGGTTTTCCTTTTTTTTTTTTTTCGTACGGGTATATTACTCACACGCGCATATTATACGACTGCGGGCTGCTGTGCGACCGTAACGCTGTTTCGCGTTCATTATTCGATTGTATAAAACATATTAGATTCGGGACGGTTACTCTTTTTATCTTTACATCTCTCGACCGAGTATACACTTCTTATTATGTTGCAGTGTACACCGTACGGCCGAAAACAAAACAGGACGGTGGATTGGATAGAAATAATAATAATTATTATTATTATTATTATATTGTGTCCCGTGTACGACAGTGCAAGATCGAAATGAGCGTCGCCTCGCGGGACATTAATATTGTATTTTATATTCTACCGAAACTGTCGGAACACCGCGGGCTCGACGCGAAATAGGTTACTCGCGAACGTACCATACACTAGATAGCCGCCGTCACCGCGTTATTGTAACATGTTGTTTTGGCGCGACGCAAAGAAAATGTGTTCGGGGCTTTTACGTATTGTTCACGAGAACATCGGCGAAATTATACCGACACGAACGACTACGACGCTGTACGGCGAGTGCGCGAGTGGTCCGTCGCTGTATGTAATAACCACGTCCCCGTCGCGCAACCGATATGATAATAAGTAACCGTTTGCAATCGGGTACGGCGTTTGTACGCATATTTTTATGACCCGTATGGGACCCGAAGCGTAGCGACGCGAAATTCGATAGAGCTCGGAGATTGCAGTTCGAAAATACGTCACGTACATTCTGCCGTACGAAAAAGGAACGCGTTTAGAAGCAAATAAGAATAAAAAACAATAGTAAATATTACTGCACATTATTGTATGAACCCGTACGTTTTGTTCGTTTTAACAACCCTCGCGCGGAGTCGTTAAAGTCTCCGCGGTGACGGTCGTATCACAGTGTATGCGCGCGTTCGACGTTATTCCAGTTCGTCCGATCTGATCGTCGGCGCTGTTTCGACGTGTGCACTCTGTTCGTAACGCATTACATCACGTGTACGCGTAGCAACAGCGTGGTCGCTTTATCTTTTCTCCGGGATTTTTTCTTTTTCATTTCACCTCGTCCTGTTCTTCTCGTTCGTATCGTTCGCACACGTCGGTAATGAGCACACTCGTGCGTTGCATTTGGTATTAGTCGTTCGCACGGCGGTCGCGTACGCATCGTGCGCGCGTTAATTATGCCGTGTTCGTCGTTTTTTCGAACGAAAAAACCGGGCGAACCGTGCAGAATCGCGGAAACACGGACGCGCGCTCAAAGTCAAACTTCTTCCATTGCGTGCGCACGTACCGGAATGCTGCGCGCTGCGGAGACCGACCGAATATGGCTGTTTGTTGCGCGCGCGAGGGGGCAACAACGGCGGCCGGACCGACATGTATGCATCAATATTTTTTTATTTATTTTTTTTTTTTTACGTAACCGTACGTGCACAACGCGCGTGGTCGTCTTTAAGGAAACGGACCGCCGCGTCGGTGAAAAAAAACCGTGCGTCGTTTTTCTACTTATTCTTCTTCTCCTCAATCCTTCGGCGCGGGTCATCGGACGCCGTCGTCGTGTACCCATATGCACGTCTGCGCGGCGCACTGCTATGTACGGGCAAACGCCCGTATTGGGTCGTCTCACATCGGCACGTAACAATAACGATTTGACCGCACAACGAACGGACATTCGGTCGCCTTAACTACGCCGCGTGCAATCGATTGCTTTCGCGGAGAAGTCGCGCGGGTCCGCGCACTCGTCCTCCTAAAAAAACGACCGCGTAACGCGGCAGTCGCGGAACCTTCACCGACGTACGGCACGTCGCTCGGTGCTCGGTGTCGACTTTTCGGCAACAGTCGCAACGACGCAGTGAGCGTGCGCCGTTGCACGCAGAACTGCTAAGGGGGGAAAAAAAAACCCCCATCGTGTGCGTCCCGTCGCGCCCTGCGGAGCGTTAAAAGCGCGTAAAGAATTTAACGGTACCTGGTGCTACGATGACGCTGCGATGGTCGTGCACGTGAAAATCACGGGCGCTCCGTAACGCACGAACAACATTACCGTTCCGTCCGGCCGCCGCGCGCATAAATAATAATGAATAATGCGTTCGAGAAGAGTAAATCACGTCGCATTCGTGCGCGGGCAAACCGGTTGTAGGTACGGACAGTCGTTCGAGCGTAAGACAATGTTCGATACGCGTCGTTTGCGCACCACAAACGTAATACCGCGTGCCCGCCTACGAACGGCGGTTTTCGATTAGCCAGTGTTTACGTGTATCTCCCCGACCGACGAAAAGAGTTTTGCTCCCACAGCAGTGTTACGGCCCTAGCCGACCATGTAGGACGCGTGATCGCGACACGAGAATATTACCCCGTATATGTCTCCCCGTGTCCGTTGTCATAATCGTAATCGCACACACGTTTACGGTACATGCACACCACACACACACGCGCGCGCGCGCGCGCACAGGATTCGAACGTTTACACGGGTTTCGTCTTATGACGTGTCCGCGTAAACGCGCATAATATCTGTCTGTACGTTTCGATACCCGACGGTAGACCGACTGCCCGTACGTACCCGCGAGCGGTGCATTTTTTGAAACCGGTCGATATAGGCGAAAATATATTTTGTCGTCCCGTCGATTGGGTTTCGAAATGACTGCGCGAAACGCGATCGATCGACGGGGTCTTCCGATTAATTTTTTTTTTTTTTCCACCAGCGTTACGATTCGTTTTCGTTGATTACGCGGGGCGGACGTGAAACCGCACGATGCACGTACGTCGACCGTTTCGCGGGGAAAACATGTCGTTCAGCGGAAAATCCTTGAAAAACGCACCGCTCGTCCGTGTTCACGTTATGCACACCGGTACCCGTGGTGCCGGTCCACGTACGCGGCGGTCGGGCGTGTGTCCACTCGCGGTGGATTGCTGGCGCGTTTTCGAAACACTCGTGTCTTGCAGAGCCGGTACGCGCGCGTTACTAACAACAGTGCGCGCACCCATAAATCGTGCACGTGCACTGTTCACGTCGTCGGCGGTAACCGCTAGGACGGGTTTCGCGGCCGCGGTAAGCGCGTGTTTTCCACGCGTGGAACTACGCACCGGGCGTGTGTGGTCCGGCGCACGAGCGATTCCGACCGTGCGCTGTGGTCGGAATGGTTGCCGTTCGACACGCGTTTTGTGTTTTGTGTTTTTTTTTTTTTTTTTTTTTTTGTTTTTCCGAATAGCCCGTATCCGTCGCCGTACTGCGTACAAATGTTTTGCGACGTGCAAACATCTCTACGATGTGTACGATCTCCTTGTTTTATCCCTCCGTGTCCGTATGGTGGTACAAATGTTCACGTTTATGGGCCGCCGCACGTCCCGCGTTCAAACGGTTTCGCTCACGGAACGTTCTGTGGCGAGACCCGCGATATGGGTCCGAAACGTTCGCGCATTACTTGGAGACGTCATGTCGCATCGATCCTAGAACCCTTCGACCGTGTCTACGAAATAACAGTACGGTTGAAAACGGTTTTTTTCCCCGTCGAAATTATTCGTCCCGTAGCGGCGCAGTAGTACCCGGCCCACGGCTTTCCGCCCTTCCGAATTCGAGACCGGGATCCCAGTGTTTCGGGGTCGTCGCAGTTCTCTCGACCAACGTCTGCCGTTTCCGCGTCACCGCGACATCACTTGACAACCCCGTCCGTCACGGTGTGCCGGCTCGAAGTGGGCCGTGTTTCGAAAACGTCGCGCTTTATCCGCTCGGGCGGTGGTGCAGTACGATAAGGGTGGTTATGTTTGGTGCAGGGGTCCCAGGCCGGGAAAGGGCCGGAACAGCCGGACGAGACGATCGTCCAGTCCGATGACCGGAACCGCAGCGGGGGCGCTGATGAACACCACCAACGCGACCATGACGACGACGACCACCACCACCGCTTCGACTTCGGTCGTGGCTGGCTACGAACTGTACCAGAAGTCTCTGTTGGAGGTGCCGTGGCCGCACGCCGAGTACGGAGAGGCGTCCAGCGACGACTTGAGCTCCGAATGGGACTCTGACGTACCCGAACCGCAACTCAACTCAAAGGTTAATAATTACTACGGTTTATTCATGAACAGATATTGCGTAGATCGTAAAACACATTGCATGTACCAATGTACTATTGTTATGTTGTGTGTGTGTGTGTGTGTGTGTGTGTGTGTGTATATGTCAGATATTGAGTAATGTTGGATTTAGTGCACTGTAGTATAGTTTTAACGATGAGTTGTAAAAAAAAATGTTTTACGATGCTAACGATTTGTTCCGTTTAGGAACAATGAGAATATGCGTTTTCTAATGCTTTTCTCTCTCACGAAAACGTAATTTTCAAATGAAAACTGTGCAACACCAACGCTGCGTGTTGTCGTTTACGATTAACGTGTTTGTCGATTTTTAATGTATCCGCGTCACGCGCAGCCGCGTACGTTTCGATATTATTTTTTTATTCGTACGCGGTATAACGCATCGTTATAATAACGTTATCGAAGAGTTCCAATGAAATATGTACCAAAACACAGTAAGTACGTGTTGAATATCGTATTGATACATAAGTCTAAAACAATCGTGATGATAACGTTATATTCCTTAAGACCATAAAGAATGCGGTTTTTTGAATATTAAAAAAGTCCCAAAAATGATATTATACGCTATGAGTTTTCGTTTACTTGTGTTCGTGTAACCGTGCCGTGCGCGTTTAGTGTTCATGTTTTAATGCACTATGACAGACGATAAAAGTCTAGCGTAACTTAGATCCATATCTTCGATCTAAGGTTGTGTCTAACCTATTCACGGCGCTTGTATGCCTGTGTGTATATGATTACCCCGTTTAATAAGCATAATAACCGCTTACGGTGTTCTCGATATACCTTCAAGCAGTAGTTATACAAACGGTGCATACACGAACGAACGCGGTGCGGAGGATCTGTATCGGTGCCCGCTGTTGTTTGTTCGGTTTGAAACGATGCTATTCGCGATCCTTGTTCGTGTTCCAGCGTCTTGACCGCAAACCAGATGCACCTGTTTTCCGTGGAAACAGTTTGTAATCTTTCTGACCGAATAACACTGTTGAACGGGTCGAGTCGAAGTATATTGCACAATAAATGGTTAGCAGCAGCAGTGGATCGTCCAAAACTACCTCTCGCAAAAACATATTTCTATTGCCCCATCGGTCCACATCTATAGACCGACGCGCGTTTTACAATGTTCCGCGGTGCGTCGCGTGTACTCGTTTTTCTATTACGGTTGTGTTTACATTCGTTCAAATATCCCGCCATCCCGGCCGGCACATGTAATCGTTAATCCTCGTTTCATTATCCTTCTTACGTGCCCGGTACGTTTTGGACCGCGTCACAGTCACCGAAGACCGTTGCTACAACTGCGCAGTACTGACTGTTCACCGCGAAACGATTTTAGCACCACGCGTCTATTATAACATGTGCCTACGCGTTCGGATCTCATAAAAAACTTGTACGACGCGTTCGTTATGAACGATTGTATCGGACAAAAAAAAAAAAAAAAGAATAAAATTAATATAATACGTCTCTGTCACTCCGGTTTAGTCTCAATGCGGAAAAAAAAATGTAAGCAATTCAACCGCAGCTATCTTTACTGCATCGTACGTAGCAAATACACGTATGCATTCGACGGATATCGCAGCCATAAATGCAAAGATGTATTTATATTTAACCGTGAATTATCGTGCCATTAAATTTTCCCGGTCTCTCGGCACAGAAAATATAAGGCTATTCAAATAATATGCGTACAGGAAATTGTATTAAGTCCACTTGCATACAACGTACGGTGTAATAACAATGCGGTATTTGATTATTTTCTTTAGCGTAACACTACGATACCTGAACATATTCGTGAACGCTAAATATGATACATTAAATAATATTGTACCGGACCTCATCACGTTACGGACGGTAACATTTTTACTTTATTTAAAATTAGTCTTCTCTCTCTCTCTCTATATATATATACAATTCAAATACCACTTTCTCACACCGACTGATGCTTTTTCAACCTATTTATTTATTTTTAATTTAAAAATACGAATTGTTCAAATTCATTATAGTTTATATCTCCCGGGCCATTGTTATTCAGCTAGTAATGTCTACGCATAAACTAAGGATATAATTAAATGATACGATATACATATTATGTTGTGTTACAAATTTCGATGTATTTATATCATTTGTTTGGAGCAAATCCAAATACTGTGTTGTTTTTTAATGTTATAAAACGACAATTCGTACAAAAATATTTTTTTTTTTTTTTTGAACGTTAAAAACTTTACTGATAATCAGTTGCCAATTCTTAGGATTATAAAATAATTATACTCGTATATTATTATGCAGACGCTGGGTGAGTCAAGTGAAGTTAACTTGCCAACTTATTTTTTTTTTTTTATGATCAGTACTTTTAGTTCAACTCTGGACCTTATGATAGTTCAATGTTCCAGTTAGTGCAGTAGTGCACGAATAAAAAATTTCAAAACTTTTGAACTGCGAGAGAAATATATTTAAAAGTTCAGGGAAACGGTAAAAAGGCAATCGACTAATGTCTTGGTACGAAAAAAAAAAATAATAAATAAATGAATATTTCACGCGTCGAATCGCTGCTGTTCACTGAAACGTTGGGAAAATAACTCGTTTCGAAAGCGATTTCCATTCGACTTGCGCCGAGTCGTATCTGTATTTATAATTTTAGTTGAAAACGTATCGCCGGTGCAAGCTTTAAGTGTACGTATTATATTACTGCCCGGTCAAAATAGCAATGCCGCAAGACGAACGACGAGGAGATGAACTGCACTAGAAAATTGAACGGCACTGGGGCGCGGTGAAAAAACGTACTGCCAACGGTAGACCTAACCAGACTCCGCCGTAAGATGCGCCTAATCGTTTATCAGTATCGCTTTGGTCCCGCGGTCAGGACTACGCGATAAGGTCCGTGATTTTTTTTCTCTTTGTTTTGTTATCGAATCCCGAGCACAACGCGAATCTCGTAGGGATCACGTATTGTGTTATTATTACTGTCGGCGTGTACGCGTTGCACTGCCAGACGTTTCGCGAAACGAAAACCATGACGAGTGTCACGCGTTCACGTCGAGTATGTGCCCGAGAAAAATGAACTAATCAAGCGACTGGTTGGAGAGCAATCATTCCCACCCCCCACCCCCTTAATCGATTTATGTTACCTTTCAATTCTGGACAATACAAAACAATAATCGATTCTGTACAATCTGTCTTTAAATTAGTTTTCATAAATAGTATCGATCGATTGAATACCATTTCCTTACTTCGTCCTTCTCAGTAGAACTACGACAACAGAACCGAATGGAAACGATAACAATAGAAATGTATTATTTATTATCGCTGTACACTTATCACGGATATATGTTGACCGTATCAATTATGGAATACAATTTTCGGGTAGTGGCACACCCAGCACGCCTATGGAAATACCTACGTGTGTCATTATGGGTTCGCATTCATTCGAAAAATATGCATAGGTACAAGTTTCAAGGGATGTTAAGATACCGTCACACCAGCAAGTGTGTTGACTCCGTCTTACGTATGCGTACGACGTAGCGAATCAACGTTCGGTACAACCAATTCTTTTTCGTTAGCTATACAATTAGAGGAAACCGACCTAACATCAAACTTAAAGACAAGAACGTGAATTATGCGATAAACTAGATTTTATATGATATTTTAACTGTCACGAAACTTGTGAGCTTTTTTTTCCCCCGATTGTAATACTATAAAAAATCGTTAAAAATCAAAAAATCGCAAAAAGCGTACATCATCGCACGAGTAATATTATTCCCTTTAACATCGGCAACAGGTGAATTTACTCTAATATTAAAGCTAAATTGATTCTATTGAACGCAGGTTTGATGAGTTCGTAGGTTGGCAATAACAAATGCTGCGGATGTGGCTTTTTCTTAAAACGACTTCTTTGTACGACAGTATTTACCTTTTGTTGTCGTCGCTTTTTCAAGGATGTTTCCGATTTTTACTAAACTATATTGATTAATATATCAATTTTCATTTACACCTTCTCACCCGAGGTCACCCCGCTCCCGACTCGAACATTCTCAACACTCGCTATCCGTTTGTGTTATTAATTCCATGATAATTTTTATTCCGTTGATTTCCAAAATATCTGTATTATATACGTATAATTGAATATCTGTAATGTTATTTAATACAATCAGAATAAGAAACCGTCTATAACAATGCATTGCCGACTCGCACAATAGTAGTTGTACGGGAATTCGAACATTTAGAAACCGTACAACGAACCGTTTAGATTAAAACGGCGTGGCGTGAATACGGCGGATTTTGATTGATTAAAAACGGCGAAACGCGAACGTAGTGTTCATTTTTCAACGTCACCTTTTGTGCAACCGGTGAGGTTTTATTTGATTTTCCTGCTCGTGGTTACAGGATCACGGTCAGTCGTCGGCCGTAAGCGTACACACGTGTACACATCGGTGCGCCCGCAAAATCGAACACGTAAAATCGTAAAAAAAAAAAAAAAAAAAAAAAGCGCAGCGCGTAACGCATTGAAATTCGCCGTACCGATGCACCGTGTCAAATGTCCCGAACGTGTACAATACATTATTTCGTAATGCGCGTGTACGTCGTAAACGATTTCTCGGCAAACGCGTTAAAAATAAAACGACGAACGAACCCCACGGTCCACTACTTGCCGGTCGGTCCGTACTCGAAGTCGCGTACCGCCTCGCTGTGTTACAAACGTCGTGAAACAATAGCTGTACGATCGTTTGTTATTGCTTACGACGAGGTTCGAAGATGTCCGAGATCGTTTTAGAACAGTGTTCGACAGCGCGAGGCCGAAGAATCCCTCTCGTGTACAGCGCGTTCAAAACGAACGGTGTTCGCGGGAAACGTGCAAACGGACGGGGAACGGGATCCGTCGACGTGGTTCGCTATCACCCCCGGGAAGCCGCTCCTGTTCGTGCCGCGTTATCGCGTACTATATTATATTTGACATGGTCGGTGCGCGCGCGCGTGGAA